ATGAGTGCAAGTTCCGCTATCTTTCATTATTGATCGACAGTTAAAATGTTCTGAAGCTAGAGCGCATTTCGCTGTATCATCCTCGCGTAGATTCGAAATCTTCGATGGAGAATCGCGGAAATGTTTTACATAGATCGCGGGTGCTTTATGTCCCGAGAATTTTCGCTCGTTTGTTCGCAAAATTGTCTACAGAAATCCGACGGGAGAGATAACGAGCGCTATTTCCGTATTATTTCTCATCAAAGACCGCTATTTGCAATATGGAGCAAAATAATACTTTGTACGCGCAAATTGAGATACGCGATATTAAAATAGAGGGAATAATACTTCAAAGATGATTGAACAGAACTTTCAGGAAAATGGCCGTGAGAGCGTGGCGGATACAAATTTTCTCATAACAATATTCTCGGTCAAAGGATTACGTCATAAAGACATGCTATTATACATACAGCGATGGAAATAGACGCAAGAGAGAGAGAGAGAGAGAGAGAGAGAAAGAGAGAGAGGAGGAGGAGTGGCGTTATATTACACCATCGCTATCACATGCATGAAGTTCCATCGCCCGTGCATGATTGTGAGCGCACCGTAAATGACTGGTGCGCTGCATACGTTTGCATTTTCGCATAACGTGGCTCATAAATATGAAGGTGAGTTTCGACATCCTCCTTGGAGAAAATCGTCTCCGGGCGCGTCGATACGCGACAAAACTGATTTGACTAGTTCTCCCGGTGAATTGTACGGCGCGATTCTAAATCCTACACGCGTATGAACTCTTCTCTCGACGGCGGCAGCGCGCACGTTCGTCGCTCCACTATTGTTAAGAATATTCCGAATTTCAACAATTTACTTGTCATTCACGTGTATTGAATAAAGTTTACATTAAATAAAAAAATAAAAAAATATAAAAAAAAACAAATTTATCTCGGCGCACAAAACCAGTTCCGCCATTGAATGGAATTGTGGATGATTTTGCGCATTATTATTATTCTTTAACGCTTCTCTATCACGGATGTAAAATTCAAAGTGCACTCTGTCATGCAACGTCTCGTCGATTTATACGCGCATCGAGGACTTTTCCCCAATAATACAAATATACTATTATGTTGCGACGAATTTTCTGCAAATTTGTTCCGCGCCCATTACCGTAAACGTTATGCGCAGTGATTTAGAGGTACGCATCAAATTTTTACGCGCGCGTTACGGCACACCGCAAAACGTACAAAAGAAATATCAAAATCAAACGAAGTGGTAAAGTGGGGAACCTAGTCTTTTACGAGAAAACTTACGTTAAAGCATTTATAGCGTGTTTCCTTCTGCTTTCCGGGATATTCCGCAGTTCCTAAGAGGTAAGCTGTTTTATAAACTTATAAATCTCCCGGGTATCCCAAACATACAAACGTAAAGAAGTTTCAAGTTACTGTGCTGCATAAATTCCAATGAACTCCTGCGGCGATTTAAAGAACACAATAAGCGGTAACCTCCGCGGGTAACCGGTTTCGCTGCATTATCATAAAACGAATGTCGCGCATTTTTATACATTTTGTATGCGATTTTGATGCTTATCGCGAGTAAAGCGTCTCGCACAAAGAATAATTTTTAATATACTTGTTCGATGCAAAAAAAAAATCGTAAATAACGCTAAACGCAATGCACGTGACAAAAGAAATATGCTTCCGTATTTACCGAATTGTTGGGGCGAACATTTTCGATCATTTATATTCTTTTAATCCCCGAGCATAATAGATCATGTCGGAGTCCGACAAACTCGACCTCGGAACAAGAGGGTTTTATTGAGACAACCACGGGGAAGTTTCCGTGGTAACGCTCCCGTAACATGTCGTACCGTCTTCCGGAGTCTGCCTACCGCGTTAATATTTTACGGCAAAGTCGGGACAGAGCGCGATGGAAGGGACATGCGTATGGTGCCCGTAATATCATTGCACATGGGTACAAGAGTAGCGGGAAACACGATGAGGCGGATCCGACGTGGAATTAATCATCGTGTAAAGACCGTGCGCGACCGTATATAGACGCGAATAGTCCGCGTTTCTAACCGGGGGTTAGCCCTTTGGCAATTCCACTTATTTCGCAAAGTCCAAACGCGAAACTCAATATTCCCTACCGCGCGCTCTTTCTTCACGATGCGACGTTACAACATATTTTGCGAAATTTACGACCGAGTACAACAAAGAGAAACAATTTCCCTCTGATATATATGAAATACTCTCCGCGTTAGTTTGCACGCGCGACAAATCGCAAAACTCGCTTTGTTTGCAGATTTCGAATTGACCGACCTGATGCGTGACAAACGTGTGCAAGTGTGCGAAATGGAATAACGCGCGCGTTCGGGGCAAAGGAGCGGAGCGTCATGAAACGACGTAAAATTGCGAATTTCGCGAAATTGAAGCGGCATCGCGCGCGCCGTTACAGCGCGCGAAGTCGTAATTGTCGGGAAGACGGTTGCGCGTTAATAGCGGATGAGCGCGTGGCGGCGCATGATTTATATCGTGGCCTATTTAAGCGGCGATTAGCGTTCCACGCGGAGTTACGCGCTCCAGTCGTCCGCTTAACAAGCTTAAACTTAAATTACCGTATTAATCGCGTAGCATCGCAGGGATCTAACCGAGTAGCCACCTGAGCGGTCGAACGTGCGATCGCAAATACATCGCCCCTATATTCCCGGTGAACCACCGCGGGGACGTATAACTGTATTAGCACGAAACCCTCGTGCGACCCCGTACGACATCCTGCCGGTACATTTGCTCAAGTTGCAGCGTCACTTTACGAACACGTGTCACCGCGTGCGTCCTTCCCAGTATACGCGCGTCCGATATTTCGAGGACGAAGGCGAAGGAATAACGTACGTGGGATAGAAAATTCAGAAGGACATGGATTGGTTCACAAGTGTGTATCGAAAAGATTGTCTTCCGACCGTAGGTTTTGCGCGATCATAAATTTCGCGAAACGACGGCACACACCCGGTTAAATTATACATCTCGTAAAGTATATTCGCCGCCTGTTTCCGCGCAGACAGCTCGGAAATATTGTGCGTAATATCGTTTTTCCCTTTCGATCTGCTTCTATACGTTTGTCTGACTTCACGGTGGAGACAGAAGTACGGGAAAATGGTATTGTATACCGGAATGGAAAATGAATACGCCGGGGGAAAGGAAGCACTTTCGTACGTTTACGTGTATTACAGAAACGACAGGGACGCGAGGAACAGATCGATATTTTGCTAAAATATTCAACAGCGTTACACTAAAATGATCAGACATTTCTTCTTTTCGCACAAAAGAATAACTAGAGTTCTTTGTAATGTTATTTCTGCGTCGGCAGCGAGAAATGCGAAAGAGCGCGGCGAGAGAATGTCGCATTTAATTAACGTTCCTTTCGTCAATTGTGTAAAAAGAAATCTTACAGTCGGGTTACCTTGTTATGTATGAAAGGAATTTAAAAAACGTAGCTTTTTCATCTCATAAAAACGTAATGGTATAACTAATTAATTCTGAGAAGTAAGAAGACTAATTGCAGCTTGTAAAAGAGATGGCGAGCTTTAAATAGCAATCATGATTTTTTAAATATAATTTTTCTCTATATTTGAATTATGTATATCCTAGAAAAAGAAATTTTATTTATTGTTAGAAAGAACATCGTTGTGTGTGTGTGTGTGTATTTATATAATAACAACAAGTTCCTACAAGGTGAAAATTCTGCAATTTCTCTTTCTCTCTCTCTTTCATCATGAAAGGATGTTCTGCGGCGACACACCGAGAGAATCGCAACGCGCGACCATTTCCATTTTCCATCTACGTGAAATGTCAGAACACGTCCGTTTCTTGTGAGACGTAATAGATACGGCACGGCTATGGGATATCGTTGAACTACGCAAGATAGCGAAATCGGATTTACCGGACATGTTCAGCGGACCGAAAAATCGGATCGTATATTAGAGAATTTTTCGTGGACGCGTTCACGGAATCAGTATTCGGTTTCAAACACTTATATATTGCGCTGTCAAAAAACTTTCAAACACAAATTGAAAAAAAAAAAAAAAAAAAGAAAAAAACTGAGTCAAGAAGCTGTTGAGTGGATTAAAGCTGTTTCGAGTGGCGGCGGTATCGCTAGTCTCGTCTTCGGTGAAATCAACCGACAGATTTTTCGAGTTGTACCGAAAAGTTGCGCCCGAGTTTGGATTCTTTGACGAGACTCAGGAACGAATCAGCGCAGCAGGACGCGGCGCGAATCTGCTGCAAGCAGGCAATTGGAGTGGAAAAGTTGGGCGGACGAGACTCTCGATTTAACCCGAGTACGAATCGAAAATCTTTCTCTGGTGGAGCAGTCGACTGATGCTTGCGAACTTCGAGACGTAGCGGATAGTTAGGAGCGGAAGAAGATATTTTATAACTCAAGTATTTGAAATAAATAGAAGACAAATTTTTCTGTATCATCATTATCCACTGGATGTTCCACTTTTCTAGTACATACAAGTGTACATTCTAGTACACTTTTCTTTTACTTTTATATTCTTGTATTTTGGATTATTCTTGTTTCTTCTTCCACGTTACATTTAAAAAGAGATTAATTGTTACATATTTTTGTGTATATATAGACATATATATATATGTATTCGTTCTTTTCTATTTTTATGTGTCAGTTTCGCGAAAATAAACAGCCAACTGTCCGATTGGCGAAAACATTCTTTCGCAATGGTGCGAAGACAAACAATCGAAATAGCATTGACGCTTAAATGTTTCCAAGCGCTGAAAGCACCGGGCGCGAGAGGTGAATTCAGGTTGAATCAGATCAAAGGATAAAGTCGTCTTGTTTCCATTGTCATCCAACACTTTGATCTCAACGTATATACGATACGTTGCTCCTCAACGAAGGACAATGGTATAAAGTTTCCAGTCGTTCTCAATCGCTGCGAGTTTTGAAACATTGTAATAGGATTCCTCGTCGCGACTCGCGTAACATAAAGGATTTATATAGATACTCACCTGACGTGGAAACAGGGATGAAAAGCAGCTGGATTATCCTGCGCGGAGAAGTTCGGCAAAGTACCGTGGAGCAAAGCGAGCCGCACCACAAGAAGTATGCCAAACTGCAAACATTAAACGATCATTGAATTTTCATATCGCTATGGTGAAAACATATTTTTCTTTGTGCGTGTTTTTATTTTCAAACACTGAAAACACATCAACATCCTTTATAACAATGTTAAATGTGTATTTGAAAGAGTTTTTGTTATTTTTCAAACTCAAAACGCAAACATGCTTGCTCTTTTTTTAAAATTTTCTCTCTTGGCATTTTTTTTTAAACATTAAAATATATAAAAAAAACTTGTGCAGCTATATGAATGCCAAACGTGACATCACCGAATGTTTCTCATTTCTATTAAAACGCATTTATTGCGTGATGCAATTTACGATTTTCACATTTATAATTCGGCCACGAACTGTCGTCGTGTTTTTTACGTTTTACGTGATGAAAAAAGAATATAAAATAAAACACAAAGAGTGGCTGCAGTGTATGTGTGTGTGAGTGCTTTCAATTGAAGCAGACTCTCGACTCACGGCTTATTGATTCGACAGAGACGTAAACACTTTATGCGGTAAAACTATTACGATTTCACGACTTCAGCGCGAGTGAATCAAAGTAGACTTAATGGCGCAAAAGCGAACACGGAAGACAGATTTTTGCTCTATTACACGTCCATTTCTACGTACATATGAATCGACTTTTTCTCATTCTTCATTATTTATCATCTAACAGTAAGATAACAAGATAACAAGATAACAAGAAATTCGATAGTACATCGAGACAACCCCGCTAATCGATGCCGCACCAGTCACGTTTTTTTTAAAACGGTCTAATTGAGTAATGCGCGTTGAGAGAAGAGCCAGGCTAGACACCAGTACATTTACTCTCCGGTAGTCACCGTTGCGTCGGGACGTCTCCACGTTCTCACGCAGGGAACGACACGAAACCGTCGTCACATTTCCGTCACGTCCTTCGCAGAGTTCGCTAATCCAATAGACGTCCGCACCTCATCCTTCGATAGACTGCTCTCTATCTCTTACTCCAAAGTTATCCAGAGCCGTCGTCGCTGTCTCACCACCTTTGTACCTACGTTGGGAGAGACGCCTCTCACGCTCGCATTCTTGTCGAGCGGGCAGACACGACGGTCGAGTGGCTACGGAAGGGTTCGAGGAGAGAGCCGGACAATATCTGCCAATTCGAGGTATTCATATCCTTCTAGGATCGTAGTCGACATAGACGTGAGAACGTCGTCCATCCTAAAAGCGGTCGCACGGACAAGCACGCGCCGCATGTGCACGTACGAACACTGTCGTCGAAACGCCGCGCGTATATCCTGTCGAGACGTCCGACACCAATGCCGGTCTTGTTCTTCGATAGGAAGCTCTTGGAATATTGTATTACGTCGCCACGGTATGGTCCCGAGTTGACCCCGTGAAAACACGGCGAGCAGGACGGAAATTCAATTCCGATAAATATCCGATGCACAAAAAATATTGTGCGGTGTATCGTTCCGTTTTTTGTTTTGGTTTGTTGTTGTTGTTGTTGTTGTTGTTGTTGTTGTTGCATCAGAACTTGTACGGCGAACTTTGTGTTCGGACACGGTAATGGAAAAATGCCGTTACGATAGCAGAGAGACTGCGGATTTATATTCTTGCAAGTACAATATCTGTTAAAATTTTCCCGCGCACGTTAGAGGATGTTACTTTTAATTTGATGATTGATGATTAAAATTACAACAAAGCGATTTGAGAAAGTAAATCGCAGTAACGATACTTCTTTTGTGTCGTCGGGTAACAGCTGCGATCGTAATTTCTCTTTGATCGCATTGTCTTAAGGAAGCGTGAAACAATCATGAATTACGCTCTAAATTAATCAGACAACAGTGAACCTAGCTACGTACAATCAATAAACAGAGCATGCATCTAATGGATTGGCCTATTGATTAGGTTTGTCACCTTAGATGTAGAGCTCTGGCAATGCTCCCTTAGCAATTAATTTTACTCTCGATACAATAATACTCGATGACGTGTGCACAATATGACGTTTCGCCATTGATCAAAAAGTGTAGTCGGTTTGATGCAAATTACCTTACGTTTTCTTTTTTTTTCTAAAAACTGTAAATTGATTCGCAATGCTAAGTAATTGTTGTATCAGTCAATTAATCAATTTATTTGACAGATGTGCAGGTACGTAACAAGTGTTTTCCACACAATGACATCTTTATTCTTAACTTCGTAGAACGGAGCGGTACATAAATTTGACAGGGCATTTATCGTCGGCCAAAGTAGCACTCATTTTCAGATATTAGCGGTTACTCTCGGTGATGAAGACCGTCGAAAAGCATCGTCGAGAACGACGTAGCTAGAGGACGTGTAAGTGCCGCGGGGCAACGGAAACGACGTGGGAGGAGAGCCGGGATATGTAGATAACTGTATGAGGGTAGGTCGTGTGCAAGCACGCCTCCCTCGTTCGGCGGCATAAATTAGCATAACTCAGAATCGTGTTCGCTTAAAGTACCTTCCATGCGCAACCTTTATTTCCGTATTGGCCCGCGTGATGGGCCGTGCTGCCCTGACTTACCACAATACGTCTTAGGGAGATAAAATATTACGTTTACTTAGCAATTCTCTTTTCCAGAGAAATTGTACGGTACACTTTATTGTCTAATTATTCAGAATTTTAATGCGCATTCAGAACTTTCCGTACAGAATTCAAGAACATCGTAAAATTTTTCGTGTTTGTTTATACATATATATATATAACATTTGAAAATCATTAAACGTATTTTGTAATGTTGTCACAATGTCTGTTTGGTCACGATCATTATTTATCAAAGATACGCGATCCTTATTGAACGCTTTCCCGCGCAGGCAAAGCTTACTACGACGTCGTCTAAATTAATTCGCGGCAATAAAGACGATGAGCGGCGCCACAAGAGCCTCACGTTTCTTGAGTATGAACATTGACGATAGTAAAGCGCGTCGAGGATTTAATAGCACCTCGTAAATTCCGTTCAAGGGTTACACGACTGTGCCGCAATCCGTAATCGATCGGCGTGACCACGATGGATTCGTGTCGCAAATACGAAAATTGGCATGTTTTCAAAAATTCAAGGTGCTTTAAAATTTGTCAAATTTTATCACAAAAAAAACCTTATTATTTGTGCAAAAAGCTGAATTTTTGAAAACAAACTCCAAAAGAAGATTTCGAATTAAACATTAAACTGGAAATCGAGCTTCGAATTAAAATTTCACGCTCATCTAAAATACGTCCAAATGAAAATATGTCATTTGTGTCTAATGGATTTCGAAAAAAGATAAATTTGTCGTGCATTTTAGTTATCGCCGTCATTTAAAAAAATTAATTGCGAAAAAGATGATTATTATCGCAGATGTCGATGGCAGGTCCGCGCGCGCACGCGATATTTTCCATCGCCGAGCGTTGTGCAATACCCATTTATGTGAATCACATATCATTCTGTTGATCTTTTGAAACTGCCGCTATTTCATCCCACGCTTCGCTTGCTGCACAGTTTGTCTTTGCAGCGTAGCAATTTCGGAGAAGGATGTTATTTATTTTCCGCGACCGTACAAGGGAAATTCTCCGCGTCTCTCCACTGTATCTACGGTAACGATCGTTAAATTTGCTTAAGACACGGGCTGCTGTAAACATCGGTGTCCGACTAGACTCGGTCGATAAAAACAAAAGATATCGGTCGTTAAGAATTAACGATGCGGATACGAAATGGGGGATATCCTCGTTAATTCCGCGGATTATAGAAGAGCGACGATCGTGTTTTCTTAGCACGTATGTAATCCCTTTTAGGAGCAATGCCGAGCGTTATATAGCAGCTCGTACGCTATATAACACAGCACGTGGGTGGACCAGTGCAAACACAGTCCGCGATCGCTTCATTAGAACCTTTTTCCTTTCTCTTCATATATTTGATGAACGTGGTGAATAAAGCAATCAAGGATAAGTCAATATTATACGATACAATACACGCTTGAATCGCCAGCGAGGCTTATAACCGGGGACCTGATTTTTCCATTAATCCGGTTACGTGATAAGTTGAGGGTGCGCGGGACCTAAATGGATAAATATAGTTCGCGGACGGTCCCTGCGCTTTCTGATATATTCCCCAGATATCAGAAATGCAGACATTGTCGTTAATACAATAATAACAAAGCTAGCCGAGCCCGCCGCTGTTCGTCTGAAAATCCTATGGGGTTTCCACGCACGACCGAATGTACATGGTGCGTTAAGAGGATTCCAATCCTCTTTGACCATTATCGCATATTCATACTTCAGGTCGTTATAGAGTCGCTTTTCTCTCGTCTCCCTTTCTCCCTCAGTCCTCCAGGAATATCCCTTTGATTACTTTCGACAGTCGAGTGACATTAATTCTGTATCATGACGCTTTTTGCCGAACACGAAAATAGACACAGACAAGAGTTCTGCCTTGATATATACGTAAAAACTATTATTTCTGTCTGCGTTTTGAGTTAATTTTAATGTTTTCAGTGTTATATATCATAATAAAACACACATATACGATATTTATGTATATGTATATAATTTATTATTTACACAATGACTTACCGAAACAAGTAACGCTGCAGCACGTCTCGAGAAATATCTGGAATCGTCGTTCCACTTTGCTTCGAAAATAGATCTGCAAAATAATAATCCAGTGTTCTCTCATGCACTTTCAGAATTTCATTCTCTGAGAAACTTTTTTTTGTTAAAGTAACCGAATTTTTCGAGCAATGCGGCACGTAGATATATTGAAATAATTCTATCAACTTTAAAGCAATGTAAGTAACTGGAATTAAGACAGCTATATCAAAATTTAAAGTTTATTTCGCGACATCATCCTTTTACTTTCCCGCGCAGAAAGATATCCGCGCTGCAATGGCGGGCGCTTAAACACTTACCTCTTGATTGAATGCCAGGAACGACAGAGATCGTAAAGAAGGTTTAGTGCTAGAACAGTAACGCCGGTTTCCTTCGCCAACATCGACAGAGCGCCGAGACAAACGCTGAACCACACGTAAGCCGTTTGTTGGCTGCAAAAAATTTAGGAAAATTGAATAAAAAATATCGTCGCAAAATTATGTTTATTGTACAACTGAAAATATGCAAGTTGATAAAGTTTAAATTTTTCGACTTTTTGTTGTCACATTATAAATAAGAGAGAAACTCACTTTGACACTTTTCAAAGCACAATGAAAAAACTTTTTCACTCTACCGGATCAAATTTATCTTGGACCCTGCTTGAAATTTGTTTACGTAAGATTTTAATATCACAAAAAGAGGTGCGAAAATATAGTCTCAAATAAAACAAGATTTTCTCACTCGAAGATTTTCATATTGAAAATCCAGAGATATGCAATAATAAAATACAATATTTATTCGTACGCGGCTTTGTTTGATGATATTTCCAATATGTATTTGTCTTCTCACGGTATCGAATAGAAACATTGATATTGAGAAACAATTCCCACCCAGAACATTGATCCAGAGACACGTAGGATTTATTCGTTCGCGTCTCTTGGCGTGTACATCAATCTTACGCGGAGTGACAGATCCGTTACAAGATGTCGTTCAGGATTTTAGGAACAACGAGACCAATGCGAAATTGGTCCGTCGGGACGAGATCGTAGCACGTCCCCGGTATAACTCTCTTCCGTATAAAAACGACGTAAGAAGGGCCGCGCGGTAAAATGAAGGTGTTTCTTACAATTTACATCAAAGTCTTTTAAGTAAGATTAATAGTAACGTGGCAACGCGGCGAAGAGCAAGTGAGAATACACCTGCTCTATGGAAACGAGGCGTTCGAGGAAACGACCGACAGTCTTGACGGTAAGCCAAATGTATAATTGGAATTAATCATAGGTCGCGCTTAATCGCCAAGGGATTTGAACGCGACGCGTAAACGCTTGAGACCAAACGAAGGAGGAAATTCTGAGAGACACTAGATAGAAAAAAAAAAAAAGAAGAGGCGAGAAAACGCAGAACGGGACGATGAAGTAAAGATGGGGAAGGAAACGAGGAAGAAAGAGTACTCAAAGGCAGCCAAGAGTAATCAATTTCCCAGCTTCGAAGACAAGCATCTTACCCTCCCTCCGGCCATTGGCCGCTAGTCCTGTAGACGGAGAGTTTTACCTTCTTGTCTTCTGCAACCGTACTTTTATGTCGGAACACCGCGAAAGCTTCCGCGACCGAGTTTCGTCTTTTACAGATTTTGCGTCACGTCGGACTTTTTTTTTTTTTGCGCGCGATGTGCCGCGTGAATTCTGTTTTTAGCTATACGCCGAACTTCTCCCTCTTTCTCCTACAGTTAATTAAATTTATTCCAGAAGTAAAGCTAAGTGAATTCACGTTTGTTTCTTGCAAAATGCAAGAAAATAATACGGGGTATCTCCTTGGAAATCTAATTAAAATTATTCTGTCATTCTTCCTCTTTGACGCTGAAAATCGATATGAGCGGAACGCACGTCATATTTGCAACGTTCTCGCGCAGCTATGTATATGTCGTAGAGTAAATTAATTCAGTTTATAAATTTCAAGCTTTATGTTCGCGAAAAAACAACTAAGTAATCGTTCCGTCGTCGTTAAACGTCGCTTGACATTTTTGACATATGCGCAATTTTTTTCCGATTTGCAAAAAGCTGTGTTTTACGCCATTATATTCCACAGCTCATTAGATAATACTTCGTACGTGAGATACATTTTTAACCAACCATAATAGATTCTCTCTCTCTCTCTCTCTCTCTCTCTCTCTCTCTCTCTCTCTCTCCCTCTCTCTCTCTCTCTCGCTAATTTTGATGGTTTACGCACAAAGTACGGAATAATAAAGAGAAAAATTTAATAAAACCAAAACATTTTAGTGCGCGCGTGCGCTGTAACTGCTGCAAGGTTTATTTTTTCCAAGTATGAGCAAAGCATACTCACCCGTGATAGGCAAGAAATGACAGCAAAAAGAAGATGCACGCTAGAACATCTGCTCTGCCCACGATGCCAGTCACCTGCAACACGTAAAGCGACATAAAAACGTAGTAATAATGTTCCAACATCAAGCCTACACGTGCAACATATAAGAGCCAGACACAAGTAGCTTTTTTTAACGCGTATATACGTACGTGCATCCCTCTGTGTATATCATGCTAGTTAAAAGCTCAAGCGCGCACTTGAGCTCGAAGATTTCAGAAATTTTATTCACTCAACAAGTTGCGGTTATATGAAAACAACTTCTCGCTTCTGAGTCGCTCTCGTCTTGGAAGCGTGAGAGAGGTAGACGCGCGCAATGGAGGCTGTGCGTCTAGATCGTGCCGGGGAAACACGAAGCGACAGCCTGATATTGGATTTAGTAGTGTAAAACGAGAAGACCGATTCGGAAGAAGCGCGTTGAAGAAACCAAACTGAAGATCTTTTTTCGGTGGCAAACGAGATGACGGACAAGACGCGAGCGAAGCTCGTTTAAGAGTGTAAAAGAGAAGAAAGGGAGATTGAGCGGGAGGTTTAGATTGTCCGAGTTATCGACAGTCCGGCACAAGTGAATAACCGAGATTCTCAAGGATCGTCTAGGGCGAGGGGAGAGACGATCGTCTCTCCGCTAGCGGAAGCTGGATTTACCCATCGTACTCATCTCTCTTCCTTCCTTCCTTCCGCCCTGCTGGGCTACATACACAGTACCAGGTGTACCTCTAAAATTTACGAACCCCGTCTATCACGACGGGAGTTGGCCAACCTCCTACCTCTTAACGAATTAATCCTGCGGAATCGCACGGTTACGATCTGCAAGTAGGGGAACTAAAACTGCGAGGTAAGAAGATGGTGAGAAATCAGCGGATTTCCGGCATAAGGTTCTTTCTGGAAGGGAACACGCTAAGATCCCGTTTCTCCCCTAAGCCGACGCATAATTTCAGAAATCTTATTAAGCTAATATATCAGATTAGATTATCGTGAGATACACACAAGTGGGCAAGCCGATTATTCTAAATTTATCATTCGTTAAATTCGTCGCAAATTAAAATTTCATTGATTTGATTTTAATGAGTTCACATGTGAGAAACGAACGAGTTAAGTTGTCGTCAATTGGATTCATATTATCTTATTCAACAGTTCATTCTGTTCTGTCTGATGGCGTATAATGCGAAGATGCGTTGAAACGGAGGCCATTACCGGCGTTAACGTTATTACCATATCGAGAACTACAATTATTGTCGATAATTATAGATACGAGAGAGACATTGATGAATATATATGCTTTCAGCGGTGCGGCAGAACGAGGACGCAATTAATCATTCAATTATAGCGAAGCAAGCGCAAGATATGAATGACAACTAGCATTCATTTTCGAAATTTATCGTGAGTCGTTCTATGTGCGCGCATATAAAACGCACAATCGTACACTTATAATAATTCACGCAAATAAAAAAACAATAGAGAGAAATTTTTAATTGATTTAACAATTTTAGATTCGAGAACACACATTATTTTGCGTCGCACACGATAGATCGAATCGATTCGAACATTCAAACCCGCGGAAGATAAACACTGAGTTGACATTTCATTAGATTCTCGTTCCTTTTTGCCATATCTCCATCCGTGCTCTTGCAGCAAGTGGACCCGGAGGAAATCTCGCTCGAAGAAACAATACTCCGTCAACGTCAAAGGGGAATGAGAGAGCCGAGAGTCCAAGTTCCGCGACCGAGCGAGGGACTATAACTCGAAGGGTCCGCTTAAGATAACAAAGATTACGATGACCACTTCGCGATAGATACTTTTGCGTGTCTCTTCGGCACCTGTCAGATTTATGGCGAGGGATAATGGGCAATTCCAACAAAAAAAAAAAAAAAGGGATCGGCATAGGCAGTTACCCTAACTGCGAGTGATGGACCGTTGAACCACGAGAAAATAAACGGCGCGAAGTGTTACAGGAAATAAATGGAGGATAAGATCCGTTTATTGGGGCCGTTTGTTCCAATTCTTTTTTTTTTTTAACTTAATTTCTTTTACAGTGTTTTACATTCAGAATTAAAAAACAATACATATTAATTGAGAGAAAAAAACGATATTTTCCTTTTCTCGCGCGAAGACAATAGAACGTATAAAACTTATATTTTTTTAAACAGATGTGTTTATAGATAGAAATGATAATCTGATGCAAAAATTCATCGCATATATTGCAAGTGCATTATTATCTCACTTGTTCTGGAATTCTAATTGATTGTATGAATTCTTCAGGAGGTTGCTCGTTATTTTGAGACAAAATCTCAATTTCTTCTTTAAAATTCTCTTTCGATTTTTCTTCTTTTTGTATATTCCTTTTATTTCCGAAGATGGATTATTATTCAGATATTAATATCTAGGTCTACAGTGATTGTTATCTATATTCGTCTCAAAAAATTCTAAATTTTTGACAACAGCAAAATAAAAACATAGATTCTGTCGTTTTACTTTTCTCCTCAAAAAATATCAAAGAAGCAAAATGTATTGCTCAAACTATATCGACTAATTACTTGTCAAAATATTTTCAAACTTGCATAGATCGAAAAGCATTTTGAGTTGTCTACAGTTACACCCGTCGCTTTTCATTGAGTGACTTTCGTATGGCAATCAAACACTTCTCTCTGCATCAATATGTTCCCGCAAATTAATTAATTAATTAATATCATCGTTCTGCGGCGGTACGCCGCAAGCGACACGCAGCAAGAGACGAGAAAAGAGACGTATATTGACGATGACGTGCAGCGTTGCACATTAAATTTCCGAGCGCGAGGAACACGAACATCACAATCGATCGTACATTGAATACGTACCCAAAGATAATTGCAATAGGCCATACTGCGAATCAAACAGCTTCAATTAGTTTCCGATTCGCGGATTTTCGCGTACGACAAGCAAACAGTGTGAGAGAGAGAGAGAGAGAGAGAGAGGAGAGAGAGAGATTGAATCATTATTTTAATACCGGAAAATCTTCCATTATTCCGCCGTGTGTAATGTTCATATATTACATGTGTTACCTAACAGGAATTACATTCCATACCGTTTCGAATTGCATTAGGGCGAACGAAAATGAAGATGCAGTTTGTCCTCTTTGGCTGAACATTAATATTTCCGGACTTTGCGGTATGATATGTTCGTTCTGACCGTAATATAAAATTAAGCGCTTTCGAGCACCGGTCCGAGAAGGGACGAACGGCATGCTTGGCATTGAATCTCCTCGGCAAAGGGAACACTCGAAGAGCCGAAACGATCGCGCAGCTTCATGTTTAATTTGGCCTGAAACCGAGCTGCTCTGCGGCTGAACCCCCTCATCTCTCGTCCCCGTCCCTTTCCGCGTGGCTCGCAAAATTCATCCCCTTCTCGGAACCGACATGTAACAGAGAATCTCTTTTGCCGGTAATATACGTCGATACGGCAACGACGTCGTAACCGCGAAACGACAGCTCGGTCATGCCGGCTCTCTCACGCTCAGCCTAAGCGCGTGGACGTGAGAGCCATTGCCATGAAATGTAACGGCGTCCGAGTGAGGGAGCATCTCGTTTGAAACGTACACAGGTAGTATGATTACCTTACGCCCGTAACAACGAGTCAACACGAGGCGGTATGCATACGGCGGTAGCATGCCTAGGTTGGCACTGAAAGCGCTTTTCATTTGCAGTTAAGCGCGCGTGGACCGAAGTCGATAAGCCCGGGATTAGTAGCACGATAAAACACGATACCTCATATTGCCTCTAGAGAAGAGATAATATTACAAATGTACATACATTGAATCGTTAATCTTCGCAGAAGAGATATTGTTTAATATGCGTCGCGTGACACATATATATATACATATATATATATGTTACAATTTATACTAACTACAGAGTGTTATTATACATTATGAGAAAAAGTTTCTCTTCTTTTCCGCGAAATTAAATATACATATTCGTATAACAGTGAAATATATTCACCGATGTAATATAATGCGACTATATTTTTTTTTATATAAATATCTCTCTTATATATATAACAAAAATGTACAGTTTTGATGTATATTCCAAATGCGTGCCGGGAGTTCGCCATTATATTCGCTGAGTATAGGCACGTACAAGGAAACGCCGGCGGGGTCTCCGCCGGCCTCTTTAATATTATAGCGGGCTTTAATAAAGCCCTAGCTTCTTACAGACTGCCGGGGCTCCATTCTCTTCTCCGTCGCGACAACGACATCGTTAAACTCGACCGAACTTGCCCTACAAAAGGGTAACGAAGTGAGTGAACGCCAAAACGATAATGAGAGATTCGATGAAGCGCCGTTTCCAATAATCCGTAATATTACAAGAAACATGTACAATATTAATGTGCCAATTCATTTTGTGCATCGCGACGAGAGCGCAGCGCAGCGATACTTCGTTTTTATACTTTTATTTGCGATCTTCCGAACGATATTCTGACAACCTTGTTAACCTCGTCTGTATTCCGTGTCAGTTGTTGGCAGCGCGAACGAGTAACGGAGTGGAAACGGCGGAAAAGAAAAGACAGGCTTTGGACTTCGTCTGAATTTTTTTTTATTTGCCAGTGAACATAGTCTTCTTATTGCGCTACAAAATCGTAATATATAGTAGCTATCCATGAACTTTAAGATAAACACAACTGATTCGACGCGAGCATTTATTTTTACTATGAAAACGTAAAACACTTATTGATTTTATGTCACAATATTAGATCGGAAGAGAGTCTATAGATATACTATACACATGGCCTCTTTTCTTTTCCTCTAAGAAAAGAGAAGATAAAGACACTTCGAGCTCTCCGATATGTCTTGCACGACTCTGTCTCTCTCACGGGAGTTTTTCAAGTATCAATTAACTTCCGATTTTTTTTTTTTTTTTTATCTTTCAATCCGGACATTTTGGAACATTATCCTCACATCGAGGATCTAATAATCGTGCCAAACACTTCTCCTCGTGGAACATTTGTCGGAAACGGGGTGAGGGGGTTACTTTCTCGTCAAACCTCAGGAGTCGTGCGGACAGCA